AATGCGATGTTGAAAAATGTTTAGTCATTCACATCCCAAACCTCCAACAGAAACTATACTACAGGGAAATTGAGACAGAGGGGGACACAGCGTTTAATGTCACTGGTTTAACTCTGGTACATTATCTTGTATCACAATGGTAAAAAATTACAAGAGGCGGCATCACAAAAAGCAATACAGTTAGCACAACAGAGACCCTTCAAGGAGGCCACAGAACATGTCAAAGTAGAAACTAATTCACACAAAATAATAATTTATAGCACACTCAGTCTCTGCGCTATGTTAAAACTGCAGAAGATTCTCCAACAAGATAGTTAAGATATTCCAAGAGATTCGCATGATCAACATCTAAGGCTGCTGACAGGTTGGCAATGACCATTAAAGATTCTGCCATAGCTTCAACCAAGAGGAAATAAGTCATTGCAGGCTTTTAAGTAGGAAAAACAATTTTATTGTCAAAGTTATCATGTGCTGGTATCTTCCTTGTAAATGAACCAAAAGCCATTCTGACACCAGCTTTTTAGACAAGAGCAGAAAGTTAGAAATTGGATTGATGTTCAGGCAAAAGTGAAACTTTTTTTCATTGAAGCAACATTAATGTCTTAGAAGCAACACCAAATTACTGGAACAGATGGAAATTTAAGATTTAATAAACTGTCAATAATAAAATCAAGAGTCATTGGTTTAATTTTCCCACTGGAAATGAGATCTGTAAATTAAGGTGCCCTAGAAGTCATCAGGCTCTTTCTATAATTAGACACACATGACTTGCATAAAATACAATAAATATTCATTCAGTTCATTTCCCCCTATTTATGCTAACATATAATCTTCCTTCCTTTCATTGCTGCTATGAACTGAATGGGGTCTCTGAATGATAGAAAAATGGCATCAAATCAGCTCACTAATGATTCACTGCCAAGGTGCTGAGACACAATTCTATAGTGTGCTGCACATGTTGGAAGAACAAGACATAGCATGTCTTAAAGAAGAAGTCCTTGCGGCAGGACAGATGGAGATAACAGCTGTAGAAATTGATTTTCAGCAGGTTTGTTCACAACAAGTCAGCTGGGCAAAGAACTAGAAGTGTGAACAGAAAAGAGACATTCTGAAAAGATGCAATTCAGACACAGTCAACAGATTAGAACAAATAACTAGGCCAAAAAACTGATTGCTTTAAATTTGAACAATCACTAGCTAATGCATTGCTCCTTCTCCAAGCGATCCCACTGTCATGTGAAGTGCTGCAAAGACAGAACACTATGTTCGCTTAGGGTTGGATTCTTCCAGACTTACTCACATTGAACAGCACCTTATTCCACTGAAATCAATGGGGGAATTTCTGGAACATGGAATTACTCACCACAAGTCAGGGTGGCAGAATCTGCCCTTTCAATAATAATAGCGTGGGCCTGATTCTCCATTTCCTTGCACCTTGCATAGACATGTACACTTTTGCTGAGTGCAAAATGGACCTGAAATGCTTCCACCAGTGGAAGGGAGCAGAGAAACTGATCTGGTAGAATTTCATACACACTTTGTTTGCAGTTTTCAGAGTAGCAGCCGGTATCCGAAGAAGTGGGCTGTATTTTTATATACGTCAGTCTCAGCACTTCCCATCTAAGGGACCAGTCCTCCTAAGAAACACTGAACACCTCAAATTATGATATCCAACACATTCTAAACAGCAAAGGAATTTTAAATCACCCCCTATTATCATCTTTACTGTCTTCCCAGGGCTCAGTGTTACCAGTAAGGAGGAGGATGGCACCTTTTATGAATGGGGAACTGTGGGACAGAGAGATGTAGTGACTTGCTCCAGATCACACAGCGAATCTGTGGCAGAGTCAGGAAACCTGCGTCCAATGCCCGACTCTCATTTGCAGCCTCCATCAGTGTAAATGGAGGGGAATATCAGGTTCAAGATTAGTCACATTTCTAGAGATTCGTGACCAGGTTTGGCTCATAAACCACTTTCAATCCTAGCCCATGTTAAAAATGGCCCCAAGTAGTGAAATTCTGATCTAAACTCAGATCTGACTAGGAACTTCCCCAAGGCACTCAGGTATTTGATTTTGGTCTTCTAGGTCATCTCAGTATAAAGACAAGTCCAAATTCCAAAGTCTGTGAGAAAATGGATAGCTCCAGTTTTACAAATCCAAAGTTTAGGGATGTTCATAATTAGTACTCTGCTTCAGCCCATTGGAAAGGTTCTCCAGTTGTGAGGTCTGGATGCAGATCTTAGTGCAAACTTTCCCAAAATACGAAGAGGATTCAGATCCAGTATTCCAGTTCTTAACCATCTCTAGTACATGTATTAATCACAAAGATCTGGGAAGACAAATCTCCTGCTTAGTAACCAGCAGTAGGGCTTTTTATACTTTCACATACTTCACAGCTACATGTCCCAGTATAAAATGATGCTGTGTTTGCTGATTTCATCCAAAAGCAGAAGCAGAAGCAGCAATGCCGTGAAAAAGGTTACTCTTGTAGCATTCAAGGCTCAATCAAAACCAGAAAATACTGGAAATCTCCCAAGTCAGCATTGCCCTCTGAAATTTCCAACCTGATTTCCTGAGCAAAAAGGTTTACACAATCCCCTAAGCGTTCTGTGTGCTTATCCAGAATTTATCTTCCAAGCCTTTAGAGAATCATGGCACTCTAGAATTTCCTTATCCTTATTTCTGACTGACAAAGCACAACCAAAGCAGAGGATATAAAAAGTTCCCTTGTGGCATTTAAACATTTCTAATTATAATTCAATTCATTACTATATAACATTGTTCATAAGCAATTTCTCAAAAGATAAAATAAGTGGATTCAGTTTTAAAATACTGAATACAGTGACTCAAATACAGAAAAGAGGTCAAAATGAGGAATAGAAATGGACCCGAGCAATAAAAGCCAAATCTGTAATTTACATCTTTATCTATACAAGTCTTTCTTCTTAATAAAAAAAACATTCACTTATGGTAATTGTATGGATAACTAGTGTGAAAATGTCTCTGATGGCTACTGGCATTTTTACCAGTACATCAGGAAATCCACCGTGAGCAGGATTAGATAACACAGTGGTAAGAAGATCTGGCAGTCAATGCCATTTTGTCACATTAGTGATCCCAGCACAGCTGCTGCTGGTGGAGCAGCCCTGGAGTCAACAATGATGGGCAATTGTTCAGAAAGAAGGGTAGAATTGTCACAGTGAGGTGTAAGGGAGGCATACAAGAATGAAAAAGAATAAGATGAGCAGGGTTTAGCACCAAACATAGGCTAAGCTGAAGTTCAGGAGAAACAGGAAGAGATGTGGCAACTTTGAAGTTTGTGAAAAGGACCTCTGTCTCTTCTACAGTTAGAGGAGCAGTACACCGTCAATGAGTGACCTTGAATTGTATAGGGTTGGACAGAGAGGAATGTCAAGACTTAAAGAATGGTGTGAAGGAGCAAGGAGAGAGTTGATATGATGATAGAGAACAAGAGAGTGCAAGCAAGTCCATGTGAGTTCCAAAAAGCATTGAAGCCATTCTGAATTAAATTCAGAAATGGGGATGTAATTCAATGAAGATGACCAAGGAAGGGAATGATACCTAGAACAGGCATCTGGAATTGAAATTTGCGCATGTTTGTAAAATAAATTTGGCAGCATGTCAAATATTTTAATTTTCAGATTAAAATACACGCTTTTAAAAAGTAAGCAAAAAAGCCAATAGAAATTAAAGGATGTATTCAACTAATTTGTTTGGGGTATAAGTAATAGATGGTGCAAAAGCAAATGTAACTGAAATATAGAGTGTTTATATATATATTCAAAGTACACTACATTTCAGCATGTACAGTATGTTGTTTCATTTGGAACACTTCTGCAATAATGCCTTTAGACTTGGCTTTGCAAGGTGCTGAATTCCCTTAACTTCCTTAGTCACTACATAGATAGTGGTCATTGCCTTGTAGGATTGGGCCCTACATTTATCATGTCATCACAGATTTTTTCATATGAAGCTAATTAGCGACATAGCTAAATAATGTCCTGTCATGAGCTCTCTCTAGAGAAATGCTCAGAAGCGCCATGTGTTATTATAGCCACACTGTACTATTTCCAATGGAAATAATGTTGCCAAGATGATAATTAAACTCACATCTTGATTTTGCATGTAACAGTATGTCCAGACAAATTACTTGGGGGAGAATGTGTTCTTCAATTGGACTGGCAGCAAGAATGATGCATGTGAGACCTTGCAATAAATGGAAGAGGACTCAAAGGTCAAGAAGTGGGGAAACCGGCATTAACAAAGAGTGACTAAAAATTCTCCATTCTCCAGGTCTACTTTACTGTTGCGTCCCTTGAGGAAGGGAAGGAGATATTCCCTAGGGGAAAGAAACAAGATAAACATAGTGTTCAGGTTATATGCTAGAATGATGATCACTTTCTCATTCATTGAGAGCACGGGATTTCAGAAGCAGGATTATGAGTTCACTAATATGGGGGCTGCGGGAAGTGGCGGCCAACACATCCCTCGGTCCACCCTGCTTCCTGCAGCCCCCATTGGCTTGGAATGGCGAACTGCGGTCAGTGGGAGCTGCAATTGGCCAAACCTGCAGATGCTGCAGGTAAACAAACCGTCCCGGCCCACAAGCGGATTTCCCTGATTAGCCGCATGCCAAAGGTTGCCAATCCCTGCACTAGGTAATAGAGAACTCTGGCCCCAAATCAGGAAAGCACTTAAGTACCCGTTTAACTTAAAATATCCTTTAAATCCCACTGACTTCAATGAGACCTAAGCAAGGGTTTAAGAGCTTTCCTGAGTTGGGAGCTTAGTTTTGCTTCCTGTTTAGTTCTGCCCCTCTCCACCATATGGTATATTGTTTAGTAGTAAGGTATAATGTAAACTTGAAAAGTCTTGCTTGTTTTTCTCAGGGCATGATTGGTAGGGCTGAAAGAAATATTACGGCTGCATTTTACAGTATTGAGGTGAAAGCAAATTAAATGTCCATGCCTCACTTACCGCCTCCACTTCCGCAGGGTCATACCACACATTAATGTATGGATGCTGTAAGGCTTCATCCACTGATATCCGCTTGGCTGGGTCAATCACCAACATCTTTGACAAAAGGTCCCTGGCTTGGCTGGCTAGAGCAACGAAACCAAAGGAACACAGTGTCAGTACAAAATTACTACATGCAGGCATTGGTTAACTGTTGTAAAAAATAAGTAGGGCAATTTGTTCCCTCCAATTATTCTTCATTTGTATGAAATTCTGCCACTCCTCAATATAGAAAGAGATCCAGATATACACAGAGGTAAAGAGCCAGCACAAGACTTGCACATTACGTAAGTCTCATGTATGCCCTCAAAATGGGTCCAAAAATGCTGATTCGTCAAAACATTTTTTTTCGTGGGAAAGGGTTGGTTTTGATCAAATTTCAACTCAGAATAATTTTGGAGAAAAAGCTTTTAAATTGTCAAAATATTTTGTTTCTCCATGGACACAAAACATTCTGGTTTTCCAGTTCAAAGGGACTTTTTATTTCAAATTTTTAAGCTAATTATATTTTTAAAATATTTTAAAATAAAGTGGGTTGAAAGTGACCCATACTGATTTAATTTCCGGATTTTTGGTTTGAGATTGATTTTTCATCCTGATAAGGGACTGGAAACTTTTTCAAGTCCTCAAAACTTTTTGCTGGATAGCTCTAGTTCCAGCCCTATCCCCTTTCATCTGCCCTGTGGTAGTAGCAGGAAGAAGGGTGTTTTGGGAGTTCCTATACCAGCTATACATCACCAGTCGTTTCCACTTGGATTGAGGCATTCCTCCTGGGACCAGATACACTAAATCTATAGTCAGAAACTGCCAGCTGTCCAGTGCAAATCAGCCATATTGATGATCCTGAGGATCTGGTGTGTGGACCATGGTTTGGGTTTGCAAGATCCCCTTCATTGGGGTTTTTATTTTGGAAAACTAAACCCAAGAAGAGGAGTAGATCTGGAATCCATTTATTCAAACAACAAAAATGTTCTGGGAGTTTGGATAAAAAGTTTTAGTTTTCTCCCATATCTCTTGAGGAGAGGAATATTGAAATTTGACCCCTACCAACAAGTATCTTTTCAAGAGAAGAAACATTTTATGTTACAGAAAGTAGACTCTCCCAGTGTAGCAATATATGGCATTCTTATTGCTTGGACATTCATGACCATAGAGATGCTAGATAACATTGTTGATGAAGGCTCTGTCAAAATCCCGATTGTCTTATTCACCCAACTAGTGCTGAAACCAGTGGGTCATATCCTCAGCTGGTGTAAATAAGCATAGCCCCTTTTATACTTGTGTTTGACTTCTATGGATGTATGCCAATTTACACTGACAGAGCATATGGCCCAGTGCACTTAATCTTATTTGTCAAGAAAGTTGGAATGTGTCCACTATGGTGTTGTAACATGGTTGAATATGGTAAGATTTCAGCGAAAGCTCACTATCTGTGAATTCTCTCCCGCTGATAACTAGCTGAATTTTTCCTATTTATAGCATAGAACCTGAATGGAGGCAGTTGTAGCAGTTGCTATATGATTTACTATTCAGAGTGCCTGGGAACAAATTAGTTGGTAGTGGTAGTGGCAAATGGAATATGATATTTAGCCAAGAGAGCAAAGTAACTGTCTATTCATTCTGACAGGAGTTTGAATAATCATCAGATGGAAGTTCATGTTGATGTCTGACTGGGCAAGTATCCAACAACGAAACAACCCCTAGTACCATATGATGGTCTATATGAAGTACAAGCCAAAACCTCTAATCTGGGACCAGAGCCCATAGTATTCTGGATTCATAGCAAATATGCTGCCAATCAACCCACAAACTGATTTTTGTTCTTATCCTAGTATTGGGTTCCCCCCCCCCACTGTTAATAAATTCACTGCAATCTTTTTTTTAAAGTTAACCAGATCATTTACTGCTAATAGTACTGCACATATAATATTAAAAATGCTTTCTTGTTTGAAACCATTTACTATTATCTTACTTTTTATACCATTTGAAGTGGACCTCTGATAGAAAACAAAGAACAAAACAAAAATAGATCAGTAACTACAAAAACACAACCTCTTCACTAAATGTATCTTATTTACCCTAGTGCACACACTATAAAGGTGACATCAAAGTGACTAGATAACATTATTTATTGTACTTTTTTAGGAAGGTACAAGGATTCAGGATGTAAAAGTAAAGTTTTTTTAAGACAGAGGAACCAAACAAGAAATAATCTTAAAAACAGACAATCACTCCATGCTTAAATAAAAGTGTGCTTCCTTTATCCAGGAGATAATTAGTTAACACCGTTTGATCATTATTCCCTTTGCATTAGCCCTAAATCCAATGAAAGACCACTATTCATTTTCATTGTAGGAGTACAGAAAAGAACTCAATGCATCCAAAAGCATTTGCTCAGACCTTTCACTTTGCTCCCAGATCTCAGACAACAGCCTTGCTATGAAACAGTTGTTAACTGGAAGAGCATTCTGGGTAATGTAATTACATGCAAATTGTAGGTGATTAAGAAACATTATGTGTCACTGCAGCAAGCAACAAGAGGAACCCATGTGTGCAAAATTGATGCACACTGGAAGTTTGAAAAGGTTCCAAAGCTGTGACTGGAAATCCTTTTTATACTCAACACACATTAATCATTGTTTCTTATTGAAGGTCAACATCCTGTTCAAGTTAATCATGGCTTCAATTTATGACTATAACCATCTTACCACATGCCACTGCATATATTGTACAATGGAAATATGTAGCCCCACTGTAATTAAGATATTCTGCTTCACATATCAAAACCCAGTTGCTCCATTTTTCATAGTCACAAAGCCACTTACAGGCAGATATTAAACTGTAACTACATCAAGAGCAATTTTAGCTGGTGGCATTGATTCTTTTACTTTTCTTAGTAAAGACACCATCGCTTTTGTAGTCAGGGCTCTGGCTGCATTGACAGTTCTTCGTTTACAACAAAAGAAAATTTAATGCCACTTTGAGATCTTCAAAGAAGACTTTTTGGGCTCCAGTGTGTCAGAAAGAAATTAATAAAAATTCAGGATGTCCAAACTTGCTTATGGTACTAGCGGAGTGCATAATTGTACAGAATGAGTGCCATGAATCTGACATGCTTGACGTATTAGTCAATGACAACATATATACGCTAGAGGCCTGGCTGCCCTAGCACCACATTTCCCTCAAAATCATATTTAGAACTAACTCCTTGCTAGATAAAACCAATGCAAGTGTCTTGGTCATTATAGCACCTGAATCTGATCTGATAAATAAACCCCACAATATTTTCATGAAAACATCAACTGGCTAAAACATTTTACTTTTTCTTTATTTACCACCCCGCCTTTAGATCTCAAGCACTTTTTCTTTTTCACCTATCAGAGAACAGTTTTCAATAAACACATGGATGGAGCCTAACTTTGCAGACATTAAAAGTGCTTTGAAGATCTCAAAGTGGCATTCAATTTTCTTTCTAGTATCTTTTTTTACATCAATGACTCTCCCTCATCTTAGCAATGAGAAAAAAAATTATGACCCATTATATGAAACGTGTTTCGAAGTACATTAAAAATCAATTCATCTCAGCTGGAGAAAAAATATTTTTGTATTGCACTTGCTCATACATGCCCCACGCTCCCTCCTTGGACATACCTTTGAGTTTGTTGTGTTCTGAGTCGGCTGGGAAGAGAGAGTCTGGGAAAAGTTTGGGGAAAGTGAGACCAGCATACTTAGGTCGGTTCTCAACGTAGTTCCGCACCGTGGGTTGTAGCTTCTTCATGAATTCTGGGCATGGTGTTCCCAGCTGCTCAATTACTTTATTCCACTGGTCAATATCTGAGGAGAGGTAGTTAAGGGAAACAATGTGCAGCCTACTAGCTTTTTTGTTTGGTTGGTTGGTTTTTAGCAACCCATAAAGGTACTTAATTCCCTCCCAAGATACTTTTCAATCAATGTCTTGGTTCATCATCATGACGTGAAGCTTTATAAGCCATAACAGGTGAGACATTTATAGCACCTAGCTTACTGGTGGACACTGCACAAACAAATATTAATAATAATAGCTGGACACTCTCTCCCTGTTGGTCATGGATGCTAGTCTATTTCTGTTTTTAAATCCTAGCTTAATGGCTACTGTCTCTTACACCTGTGCAACCCCATAGACATCAGTAGGGCTACATGGGTGTAACAAATCTTATTTGTTCAGCTGGGCATATCAGTCATAACTGTCACATTGTAGTGGTACTCAGTGGAGTGAAAAAAGAGTTCTGCAAGGGGAGAAGTTACCCCTAACTTGTTTTCTCCTTTCTTCATGAGCGATCAATAATTTGTGAAGGACATTTTATTTGGGAATAAACATGCTATTTGACGGAAAAGACATATTTGCCAAAAGTTCCTGGAGATGCATACATAAACTGAAATGCTGCATACTTGCATCTCTATTCTTCCCAGCCATTTATCAGTTCCTAGTTTTATAAAAACAACAAAAACTATTTGGCAAATTGTTGTAAAAATGTAATGTGTTTTTTTGACTGTTCACCATTTCCTCTAACAAATATTTTCTATCGGTACACAATGTACCAGTTATGCACAAATATTTCTTTTGTTTTCCACAAACATGACAACAAACAAGAAACAGTTGTTATGCCTTCATCATGAATGCTAGCTTCCACATGCTTTCATACTGAACCAAGAAACTCTCTCTCTTATTGGGGGGGTTTCAACAGGCAACTCTTTTAGCTTTCCTGGAGTACCAATGAGCATATCTGCTGAATGATTTGTCACACTTCTAGACATGTTCAGATTATGCCCTGCTGTGTCAAACAACAACAAAAAAAGGGGAGGCAATGTTTGATCAAGGATATTGCCTTTAAAACCAGTCCCACCTCCCCCATCACAGTCCCTGCATTCATCAGGCTAAGGATTTGAAGAACATGTGAGATAATATACAAATAGACACAGTGATGCACATGTTTCTACCAAGAGACTGTCACAAGCATATAGCCTCATGAGAACCCATTAGAAAGAGAACGTTCATTTTAGAAAGTCTATTTCTGATGCAGCACCTTATGAAGATAACTTTGTTTTCATTATTGTTAATTGTTTATTTACAGTAGTGCCCACTCTGTGCTAAAAGATTTCCAAACACTCAAAAAGAACAGCCCCCACTGTGAGGAGCTCACAATCTAAGGGCAGAAAAGTGGCCAGAGGAAAGGGAATAACAGTAGACAAAATATATACAATTCGCATCAGAGGTAGCTGAAAAACTGGAACATTTGGGGTTTGAAGTTTCCATGAAAAATGTCTCCTTTTGTTGTCAGAAAATTTTAAAATTCAATTTTTTTCAACCAACTGGTTAAAAAGTGGGATGAATTTTTCATTAAAATTTTGTCCCCCATTTTCACTGGAAAATGTAGAAATTCAAAAATTTTGGACCATCTCTAATTTGTATACAAGTCAACACGATTCACTGTAGGTTGCATGGCAGAAGTGAGTCTTTAAGAGGGCTTTAAATATGGGCTTTGCATATAAACTCATGGAGGTTGCACTATGTATAGAAAACATGAAGATAACTGTGTGATGAGGTTGTATCATATGAGATCACATGAAAGAGGGCACAGAAATGAAAGTGTGAGCAACTAAAATGGGTAGACAAGGATGGGAACACTGGTGGAGCAGAAGGCATGGAGACAACATGAAGCTTGATGAGGAAAGATATGTAGGAGGGGCCAAGTTATGCAGAACTCTGAAGGTGGTGGGAAGATGCTTACATTTGATTTGACAACCGATGAAAAGCCAATGGAAGTATGCAAAGAGAGGAAGAGTTATATAAGAAAATTGATGAGCCAAGGAAGGGAGTTTAGTGACTGCATTGTGTATGAACTGGTGGGGTCAATGTGTGTATTTGAGAGGCCAGTAATCAAGGCAGAACATAATAAGGGCCTGAATGAGAGATATGGCTGTGAAGATGGAAAAAACAGGATGGATCCTGGAGACACTGAGGAGGAAGATATATTAGGATTTGGATGTCTGGGTCATGAGAGAGGTTTGTGGGCAGGGAAGATGGGGGTGATGTTGACAGTGACTGAGAAGGGGGAAGTAGAGAATGTTAGGGAGGGAAGTTCTGTTCCGCATGCGTTCAATCTAAGCTGACAACAAGACATCTGAGAGGAGATGGAAGAGAGACAAGCTGAGATGCAGGATTGGATGGAAGGAGACAGTTTAGTGATGGAGAGAGAGATTTGTGAGTCATCAACATAGAGATGATAGCTGATGACATTACCCACAGAGAGGACTAAAGTTAGCAAAAGATGAAAGACAAACCCTGGGCAATCCCACTGAGAGTGGGAAAGGGGAAGAAGGGCAATTACTTATAATCTCCTAAATGGTGTTGTGTGTATGCCGTAACTTCCAGCATGGCTCTCATTTTCGTGGTCAGTTAATTGCTTTTGTTTATGTCATCTTGGAACCTCATCTACCATAGAACTCAGGAGTACTATTTCCAAACTTCTGAGAAGCTTTGGGGACAGAAATAGGTCTCCTACCAACTAAATCACTGAATGTTCAAAGTAATGCAGCCACACCCCCAAAATCAATATAATTATCTAAGTTACATCATCATGAGGTACCGTCTTGCCTGTTTTTAACTTCTCTTACAAGTTCAAGGTTTGTTTGTTTTTTATATGAATGATTGCTCTTTGTCTGCATCTTACTTCTGGACTAATGCTAGGCAAATTCTACAAAAAATTATTTGTAAACATTTGGTTAAGTAAAAATAATAATTATAGTTTGAAAAAATTCAATAGCCCTTTTACTTTGCTTCCTGTGAGCATTCAGATAATGAAACCTTTGTTGATAAACATTTTAATGGAAAGAGAATGTATTGCAAATACATATTCATGCCAGTTTTCACATAAGCATTCACACTGGCCAGCTAGAAAGCTCTTTGTAAGTTTGGGCATGGAGACATTATTCAAAATCATTGCTACATGCAAAAAATATTTCAGCTCATCAATTATTTGTGAACTATTCACTCACCTTTCATAAGCTACTATTCTCCTTGTGGACTAGAGAGTTATCACATAGTACTGGTTCTGTTCTCTGACTTGATGATTCCCAAACTCATAAGAGAACTTTCACGATAACTGCTGAACACTTAACACGTCTAATTTATACTTTTAGGAGTTGGATTTTGTGTTGGTCAATTGATTTTATAGCCTTGCCAAAAATGAAGCTAAATTAGTAGGTGAACCAAAAGGCTTCTCCTGGAAAGATAACATAATTTAGAGGGAGACCCTGCTGAAATACCTAGGTACAGGAGTTGCTTTGAAGATGACACATTGTAGGTATATACCACACAACAAAACAATTAATCCATACATTAAGTGTCCAAAAAATCATATCAGGCGATGGAGGCAAAGGAAAGAAAATCTTTTCCAGGCATATTTTCATTTGGGGGAGCAACACCAGATTTGCCGATAAAACTTTGCCTTTTTTGTGTACATTTACTTAAATATATTTGGCAAAATAAGGTGTAACAAAACTACTACTACTAAGTATAATCACCACAGCCAGAGGTTATGGGTCTATTCCAGGCATGGGTGGGTGAGGTTCTGTGTCCTGAGATGTGCATAATGATCCCTTCCGGTCTTTAAAGTCTCTGACTACATGAGATGAACTGAAGTGGGTGTGATTTTCGTTTTGCAAAATTCAACCCTACAACCAGTGGCAGTTCACATTCAGGTGGCCATTTGCCCAAACTTGCAAAATCCAGAAGAGAGAAATCACAAAAGTTACTATGAAGAATATGGTCTAGCATAGGTGGAGATGAACTTTTCAGAAACAGACCTCTAAGTATAGATGCTATCAAATGAAATTTATCATGGAGCAGAATATGTCCTCAATTGAACAATCCATTTTACATGAGAAAACCGAGCCTCTTAAATTAATTCTGCCATCATAACCTACAAAACAAAGTATTCTAGCCCTGGGGTGAAGCCATTGTAGGCAGCTATGCCTACTCAAGCTGGAATAAATCTCACCATAATTAAAACAGTATGCAAATTAAATTAGAATTGATTGGGAATTTTATGATAAATTTTTTCCATCTGAAAATGTCAATTCATCAAAATTGAAACTGTTCCTAGGAAAGGTTTGGTTTTGATAAATTGCTTGATTAGAAATATTTTTGGAAAAATAATCATTTCCAAAGTGAAGTTTCATTTTTCGGTTCAAAATGACATTTCATTTTTTAAAATAGTTAATTTATAGTAAACCCGGTTTAAAGGCTTAAAAAAATGTTGAATCTCAAATGAAGTATTTTGAAATTACTGAAATAAAAATGTTTCAGCTGACCCAATCTGGATTTTTTAAATACGATTTTTATCCTGATTCATGATAGGAAAAATTTAAAATTTTTGAAATTTCATAGGATGGAAAACCTGTTTCTTGCCCTGCTCTAATAAATACAGCAGAGGCCAATATACTGGACTCATGACATAGAGAGGGGAGGCATTGCTGTCCAGTTATTGGAACAGGAGACCAGGAGTCAAAACACGAGTTCTACTTCCATTCCCACCACAGTCTTACTATATGAACTTGAACCACCTACTTCAGTTCTTTGTACTTCAATTTACCCATCTGTAACATGATTGCAGGAGTGCAGTGAGGCTTAATGAATTGTTTTAAAAAATTAATCCAAAAAACTGAGCTCCTCATATGAAAAGGGCTTTCTACATGTAAAGTACTGCTATTACTAAATGTAATAAACAATTTTTAATACTTATCTTTTAAATCCATAACAATGTACTGATTAGGAGTTGTTTTTGTAGTGGATA